TCAGAGAGGAGTTTAAGGGCCGTGTAACAGAGTGAGCAGAGGTGGGACGCGCACACGGGCTCGTGGGCGCGCTTATGCACTCTGAAACTCGAGCGGGTTGGAACCGCTTTATGAGAGTGGGCTCTGTGAGACACACGGGAACTGAAATGCTTTTGTGTATGAGTGAACACAGTGTTGTGGGCACATTTTCTACACGTGAGGCTTTTATGCTCTTTTTGAGATTTCTCTGGGTCGCCGTGATAACGGCGTTTGTGCTCATGCAAGCGGGAAAGGGAACCGGCTTGGTAATGGCGGGGTACACTGCTGTAGTAGCCGCGTGAGCGGGGACTAACAGAGGGCGAAACTTTGACGGCGGTCCGGCCTCGGCGGGAGAGCGCCGTCTTTTTCTCAGCTGTGCTAGGCAGACTTTGAGTGATCAGGTTTCAGCGTGATCCTGGACCGAGGCCCACGGGGAGGCGGCGGTCTGTGGCGGCTGTCAGAGAGAGAACGAGGGCGGCCGCCCTGGCGTCGGTGAGAAGTCTGACTGTGCTGAGCTGGGCGCTGGGGTGGGGTGGGGCTCGTGCAGGAGGCTGGTCGCGTGAGCGGCCTGCAGAGGAGCTAGCGCGACTAGGCAGAAAGAGATTCATGGCCTGGGAGGCTTTCTGCACTTCGGAGAAACGGTCAACGATACCCGTGACAGCAGATCCGAAGAGGCCGGATGGAGAGAGCGGGGCGTTGAGAAAAGCGGCGCGCTCGGAATCTCCCATGTCGGCGAGCGTGAGCCACAAATGTCTTTCAGACACGCAAATGGCGGCCATACATTTCCCCAGGGCTTGAGCAGCAGACTTTGTAGCGCGAAGGGCAATGTCCGTAGCGCTCCTCAAATCCGCGACTGAGGGGGGATTTTTTCCGCTCTCGTCCCACTCACGCAGTAAATCACCCTGTAGAATCTGGAGGACGGTCATGGAGTGAAGTGCAGAGGCTGCTTGGCCGGCGGCTGAGTAAGCGCGGGCGTGGAAGCTCGAAGTCGCTCTGCAGGCTTTAGAAGGAAGCACAGGTGATGAGCGCCATCTCGTGGAGGGCTGGCACAGATGTGCGGCGACCAGGTCCTCTACAGGGGGAATGGAAAGATAGCCCTTTTCTGCGGCTCCGTCCACAACGCGAAGCGGGGCGGAAGAGTCGGAGCGAGTTCTGGCAGAGAGCGGGGCATTCCAGGACTTCATGAGTTCCGCGTGCAGTTCGGGCAAGAAGGGCGCGGCCCGTTTAGTGACGGGAGTCGAGCGCTGGCGGAAATAGCTGCCGTCCATACGGTTGATGGTCTGCTCGGGGGGAGGAGACCAATCGAGCCCGAGGCGTTCGACGGCCTGTGAGAGGAGGCGCACTAATTCCTCCTCGATTCCAGCGCGGGTCCCAGAGGATTCTCGGGCCGAAGAGGCGTGAGAACCGGACCATTCCTCACTGTCTGAAGCGAGAAGCGAACATGTCTCCTTGATGTCCGCGGCGTCGTCGGAGGCGACAGAGCGGCCACTCGGCGGCAACTGTATGTCTGGAAGCGGCGGAGAAGGAGAGCGGGAGGCGACAGGCTCCGGCGGGATGAACGCTTCTGGCTGGGGTTCCGGCGGCCTCTGCGAGCGGCGTTTCTTCTTACGCGGCGAAGTCAGAGGCGGCGCGGAAGCAACTTTAGTGGCCTGAAGTCGAGCCCGCAGGGTCGACAACGGCATCTCCTCGCAGAGATCGCAGCCGCCATCGGCGAGGGCGAGCTCGGCGTGCTCCAATCCGAGGCAGAGAGCGGAGATGACGTGGCGGTCTCCAGTCTCGAAGGGAGCGCGGCAAGAACCGCAGGAGGAAAAACGAGACATCTTTACAAAGACGCTCGGCTCTTTTAGATACACACACACAAAACAAGAAGCTTTTGGTAAAAGGATATGAATCCGTCGGATGGCGCTAGCTTGCAGGACGGCTGAAGGTGGCGAAGACGGCCGGCTTCCTCAGTCTCCCAGATGCTCGCTAGAAGGTGCCTTTTCCACGACGGCGGCTTCTCTCAGGATCAGCAGATGCGTGTAGCCTCGCTGAAGAGATGAAAATCAGAGTTTGCAGCCTGAGAGGCGAATTTATACTCTCTGGCCACGCCCGTTTCGGCGGGCTCTGACGCAATGAGAGCAGGTCAGACTCTCATTGGCCGAGAGTTCATTCGTGTCTCCTCATAGGCTTAAGCAGTTCCCTGTGAGCGAGCCAATGAGCTGCTAGCTAGCCTGCTCATGGTCTGCTGCAGCTGAACTGCGTTGACAATGGATACAAAATTATAGGATCATTTTTGGCTTCAATTTCTCAGAAAAGATGAATCTTTCCCGCAGCGTAAGCTAGCTTACGCAATACGAGAGAACCTCTCTTAAGAGAACTCTCTTGACAACATACATTTTATTATTGTTCTTGTCTTTCGATATGCCGCTTGGTATTATTGTTGATGTGTTTAACAATTCAAATGCATTCTTCTAACTTCTAGCGTCGCCCACAAATAAATGGATGAAATAATGTTCTTGAATTCCTCCTTGAGTGGGCAGTCGGGGATTTATGGGTTAACAAGATCACTGTGTTGGTGTAGATTAGTTGATACTGATGTCCTGCCTGTAAACTATTGCCCTGAAATGTGTTTTATTAAAAGCACAGTGGAATAGTTCACATGTGAATCTGTAAGGGTGGATTTCCTGCAGGGGTTCAGGCTGCAAGACTGCCGAATGACTAAAGAAATGTTATCAGTAAGATAGTTGAAAACTGTACATTTCTTGTCTATTACCACTCACTGCTACTTATACCAATGACGGAAATAAACGTGGTTACTGAGGACTAAAATTTCATATTTTAATATAATTTCATTATTTAATATTATGTATCTGTATTATTATTCTTTATTAGTATTCATAATCAGTTGTATTATCTTATGAAGTTTAAAATGCATGAGTTAGACTATATTAATGATGATATTGATAATACATCACATGTGTACAGTTGGCATGTTCTTTACAAGGAAAGGAATGTTTTTCAACTGATGCAAATGCACCAGGAACCGAAGGATAGTTTCTTAATATGGAAAGTGGATTGTACCAGCATGAGGTATACGTTCCATTTTTAAACATAAGCAACATGTTTTTCTACCTTACAAGTTGAAAGTCACTCAGTGGTGTATATAAGCTCAATCCTCACTGTACCGACTCAGAGAAACATAAAGGCATGATGGGGTGAGAGGATAGAGAAATGGGGAACAGAGAAATCTGGAATGAAGACACCTCTCCTGTAGCCTTATTCTTCTATGCTTGTTTCTCGCTGATACATGTATAAAATAATAAATAGAGATCTCTTGGCAAAATATGTGGTGTAGCCTCCGTGATTCAACAATAACGGGGGAAAGCATGATTTTCAAATCTACAGTTACAATAGCTTAATATGTGGGAGAGCGTTGCTAGAGAGTGACAATATTGTATTGCAATATGTAGCAGTTCAAAGTCAACACTAAAAATTAGTTAGCACATCATTTGTCATTGAAAGGGTTTAATGACAATATATGGTTACACTTAAAATAATTACAAAATAGATGTATGAGATGATAATAACCTATACCATTAATTGCACCCAAAGAGAGACAGAGAAAGTGTTACAATCTTTTTTCATCCCTTCCGTGACCATGTGACCGAAACCCAAATGTGAGACGTTCAAACTGACCAATCAGATAATTACAATCTCCCCCATCGTACTAAAGGTGTGACAGTTCGTAGACCCCTGATGTACACACATTTAGGCCTACAGGCCTGGTCACTATCAGCAACTCTTCCCAAATTATCCTTGCGGTAAGAGAGAGGGTTGAAACAGTAAAAGCAAATGTCTTTCTTCATGTTCAAATATCTTGGATTATTTTAAATCCTACAATTCACAGCAACCTGATATCAAATAAAAGGTACATGCACCATTAACACTATTCAGAGTATTATATATACAGTATATATCTCACAGCACATTAAATGAGAATTGCAAGCCAATTTGCTAGTTTTTTCAGAATTTTGTGTTTGAGTTTTGTGTTTGAGTTTTGTGTTTGAGTTTTGTGTTTGAGTTTTGTGTTTGATGTAAGGAGGAGATCCAGTCAGATGATTAAGTCAAATTTTATTTCTTAACAGCAGACAATCAAATAATAAATGAAGAGTCAAATTAATTCACCCATAACCAGGATTACAAGTTTAATAAAGAAACATAAAATAAACTGTTTAAATAACTTCTAATATTTCTAAGTAAAATATAATTAAAACACTCTGAGTATAATATTCTTAGCCTGAAGATAATTAAAGTTGTTTGAGAGATCTCTCTTTGAAAAGACAGGGTGCGAAAGAGCAAGATCTGAGTCCAAGGTATAGACTGACCTACAGATATTAATCTCCGTAATAAACAGTTGCTTATTGGCTTATAATAAGTGTGCTATATTGCATTGAAGCAGACACACAAGACACAAACATATCTAGTTTTCATATTTTCACACTCTGAGGTGTTAGCCCGCACACTGCAAGATGTTTAGCTAAGATTACATTAGTTTACCACTTTATTCTGAGACATTGTGGTCTGTCTATCAGAAACTTACAGACTTTTGCCCTCATCTAAACAGCAAGCTCAAAAGTTCACCATAAGCCAATCGGCTACATTTGAGGCATACAGATTCATAAAAGAAAAGCATTAAACACATTTTAAATTATATAAATGATAAAACATAAGCAAATGATAAAACATAAGCAAGAAATAAAAAAACTTCTTTCTCTAATTCATCAGTGGTGTTTTAATTGTGGTGCTCCATTACTTTAACAACCACAGATTTATTGTTAAAAATATATTTTATGCCAATCAACATATTGCATAACTGCTGCCGACACCATTTCAGTATTTACTCAGAGTTCTGCTTTAAATCAGGAATCAGTGAATATTGTCCAGCTAAAGTGGAGCAGATTTTATCACGAGGTGAATGCGGGTGGATCTGGTCTTTAGGATGCCGGGGGTCAGAGGTCAGCACCGTTTTTGACGACAGCAGCGTCCGAGCTGCTTACACTTCTCACAGAGATGCTGAAGATGTTCTTTGTTCGGGTCCGATGCGTCCAGGCCGTCGGGTTTCTCCAGAGGACGCTGCAAACACAGAGGAAAGATTTTAAATCCTTCAGCTCATCCCTAGAGAAATATTCCTCTTAAAGAGCACCTATTCTGTTATCATCTTTCTTTAGTGTGTAATGTTGCTGTTTGAGCATGAAAAAGGTTTCGGGAGTTCTTCTCTATATCAGTGTCAGTGTTCCTGAACTCCTGAAACGCCTCCATTGTAGTCTTGAGTTTCTCCCGGGAACACGTCACAATATTCCTCATTATAATAATTCATACGCAGAATAAAGGGGCGGGGCCTGGTTGAGTTAGTTAGTAGTGTGTTAAACTGGCGGTTATGGGAAGGGGCGGGACATTTCCCAAGCACACTCGAAGCGCTCGACCAATCAGAGCACACTGCTCCAGCCGACCAATCAGAGCACAGTGTGCTTTCAGAAGGAGGGGCTTCGTAGAGACAGGAAGTGAGCAGAGCGTTACTGTCAGACTGGGAAGAGAGGAGCCGCAACAATGGAGAATATGAGGAAAATAATCAACATTCAAGCAGGAAAACCTAGTAGACTCAAAACCAAGACTTTGTAAAAGGGCTTAACATGGCCTCTTTAAAATATTTCCTGATTTCAAAAAGAAGCTATGATGTCCAAGCATAAATCTGAGAAAAAAAAATGAAATACAAATGAACATCTGGTGAACATTACAAAGGAAAAAGAGCCACCAGGAGCGCTGAGGAGAGCAGATCCGACTCAAGGCTCTTCATCGAGTGTTTTCTACCCGGTTCATAACTTCATAACCTGCCAAACACACTGCAAAGTCCCTCATGAAAGCTTTATCTTCAGCCAAAAGTCCTCTATTACATCAGTGTCTCCAGTTTCTGAAGTCCTGATTAATAACAAACAGATGCTCGCCAACTTTTTACGGTTTCAAGTCTGTTTAGATGTTCTTTAGCGACTCATTTTGTACAGATGCTTCAATAAAGAAACTTCAGAAAGCTTGCAAACATTCGATGAGTTCCTGAGCCGTCAGCTGTAATGCAGTCGTGTTTATATGGACAAGACGGAAAACTAAACACAGATATGAACATCTTAATCAGTAGCTTTGTCTAGTTTTATAGTAATGTAACCAGTGGTTGAACGAAACAACACAGGATACAAAAATTACTTTTGGGGCTTTATTCTGGCTGCTGTCTCTATAAAGGACAGCGGTCGAGAGGAGCAAATATTTAGAAACAAAAATAATACAATGAAATAAAGTCTTTCACATTTCTTTGGTGCACTTGTTTGGTATAAAAGATGATTATGACAAACTGAATGAAATCAAATTGAAATGAAAGACATTTGAATAACAAAATAGACTAGTACAAAATACAGTAATGAAATACGGTAGAGGCTAATAGTCAAATGAAAAACAGTACATTAGTCTACCATCAAACTTCACAGTTATCTGCATACAGTTTTAAAGAAAGAGAAATTAGTACACTGTGTTCACACAGCATTCAATACGTTAAGTAGCTCTTAACCATATATTCAATGTTAAAATAACTCACTGTTTTCTAACATGCACATCCAATTTAAACATTCACAAACACTGGGTTTCGAATAAGAGGAACCATTTAATTAACATTTATTACAACACATACCCAGTCTTTGCACGTGTCCCACGCGTGATCAAACCAGATCCAGCTCACACATACACACAGGCGTCCTTAAAAGGCGATCTATAAACATTTCCCAATGAGCACACACATATGTAATACGTAAATATAACATTTAAACATTTTGTTCACGGGAATGAAACTGTATATTTACCTCACAAATCCTTAAATAGGTGTATATGAACAAAACCAGCAGCTCTCACGTGCAATCACTGCTCTCTCTTCGCTGAAAACTAGCGCATGCACACTACACGAGGCAATGCCGTAAAGTGAGCGTCGCAACACAATCTCTTAAAGGAACCACGACCAATTTATGTCTAGTGTCATAATTTGTGATACTCATCCCACTTGGCTACATTCTCCCCTGCTAAATGTCATTGTCCTCAATGACTAATACATGTTCTTCACTTCTTTAACAGCTTCTCTAAAGAACACACTGCCCAAACTTGTTAACACCTGAGAAAAGACTTCGGGGCTAAGTGACACTGCATTGCATACTGATCTCGGCTCATTAAAGGGGTTTGAGTGTAGACCAGCATGGGCCCTTTTTGTTCTCCTAGGTGTTGGTACAGGCCTTCTCAGTACTGGTTCTTCCACTTCTAGAGCAGAACTAGTGTCAGGGGCAACCTGCTCAAGTACAGAATCTTTTTGTTCAGTGCTAGCTGAAACCAAGCTGGATTGATCTACCAGTGCTTCATCATTTCCTGCGGAACTTCCAATCTGTGTTGTCTCCGGCAAACTGGGGTAAGTGACTTCCTCTAAAACAACAAAATCAGGATCAGGATGCACTGCAACCGGCTCATGTTTAGAAACTCCTTTTGGCTGTGGTGTTGTAGGAGGATGGTTCTCCATCACTTCTGGCTCAGGAGCATAAGTGACGCAGGGCCGCAAGTCCGCTCTATGCAATCTCTTTATAGGGCCACCCTCAAGAGGCTCAACAGTGTGCGTGGTACCTTGCACATCTATGACCTTGTAAACGGTAGGACCCCATGAATCCTGTATCTTATTCCTACCCAAAGGTCGGTGGCGCAGATACACCTGCTGACCAACATTGATCTCAGGACAATACACCTTGTCATTCAGAGGGGCTAACCTCTCAGTGGCCTTGTGTTCAGCATATTCTCTTGCCTTTTTGTGTGCTTCCTTCAATCTCTCCTGATGAACCACTAACCAGTCTTGTTTTCTGTCCACAGGTTGTTCGTGACCTAGCAGGGTATCGACGGGAAGATGTGGATGGACTCCAAAAAGTAAGTAGTATGGTGAGTATCCTGTGGTTGCATGTGGCGTGACATTGTATGCATAAACCAGCTCAGCAAGGTGTTCTGGCCAGCGCCTTTTCTTTTCAGGGGGAAGTGTGCGTAGCAAATCATGGAGCGTTCGATTAAAACGCTCGCACTGAGCATTACCCTGAGGCCGATAGGGTGTAGTGCGGGTTTTCTTCACACCATACATTTTACACAGCTCAGCAATCACTTCGCTTTCAAAATTTCTTCCCTGATCAGAATGCAATCTTTCAGGTACACCATACTTCATGAACCACTCCCTCAACAAGAGTTTAGCGGTAGTTTCAGCTCTCTGATCTCTAGTTGGGAATGCTTGTGTGAATTTTGTGAAGACGTCGGTCACGACTAACACACTTTCCCGACCATCAGAGGAGGGTTCGAGCACAGTAAAATCAACTGCCACTACCTCAAGGGGTCTAGACGCTAGAAAGGGCTTCATCGGAGCGTGTATCCTGGGTTGGGGCATCTTTGTTAAGATGCATCTCTGACACTTTTTGATCCATTGCTCCACATCGTTGTACATACCCACCCAGAAGCATCGTGGTCTCAACAGACTAATGGTGCGCTCAATCCCCTGATGTCCCATGTTTTCATGCACACTTTCGAGGACAGGTTCTTTTAAACACTCAGGTAAGAGCAACTGTTTACCTTCACCTTGATGTTGATCCTTCACAATACGATAAAGCAAACCATCTTGCTCCTGGATACTTTTCCACTGCTTTATCAGAGATAAGGTGGACTTCGAAAGTCGAGATCTTTCAGCGCGGGAGGGCTTTCTCTTGATTTCCCAGAAGTTTCTAAAAGAACTGATGGTAGGATCATTCTTCTGGAAATCTACCAGCTCCTCTACTTTATAGCCCGGCATAGTATGCGTACTTCCCTGGCTGTCATTTCCTGCAACTTCTCCACAATCCAAGGCACGAATTTGTCTGACCCTGCAACAGCTCTCACCAGCAATCACCAAGTCAGGCTGCAGGACTGTCCCTTTGTTGACTACATTACAAATAGCAACACAGTCGTCATACTCATCAGGAATGGTAAGCTCCCCTGCTGAAGGGTGTCTAGACAGAGCATCAGCAGCTGTATTGTGTCGGCCAGGGCGATATTTCACTTCAAAGTCAAAAACGGCTAGTTGAGCGACCCACCTTTGCTCAATTGCACCGAGCTTGGCTGTTTTAAGATGGCACAAAGGGTTGTTATCAGTGATGACTACAAATTTGGATCCCAGCAGATAACCACGAAACTTTTCCGAGATGGCCCATTTAAGGGCCAGCAGCTCCAGTTTCATGCTGCTGTAGTTCCGGTCATTCCTTTCCGCCTTCCGAAGTCTCCTACTAGCGAATGCAATGACCCTCTTACACTCGCCCTGTTGCTGGTATAGTATTGCTCCCAGGCCCTCATTACTCGCATCAGTCTCTAAGACGAACGGAAGAGTAAAATCTGCATACCCCAGCACAGGAGCAGAGGTGAGCTTCTCTTTCAGGAGCTCAAATGCTAACTGGCACTCAGACGACCACAAAGCACTGAAATCCTTTCTCGCACTGCCAAACTGGGAAATACACAGATTCACTAAATCATGAAGGGGCCCAGCAATCCTAGAAAACCCCTCAATGAATTTTCTGTAGTAGCCACAGAACCCTAAGAACGAGCGTAGTTCCTTCACTGTGTTGGGGACTTTCCATTGCCTAACTGCCTCAATTTTCCCTGGATCGGTAGCAACACCTTCTGCTGAGATTCGATGACCCAAAAAGGTTACTTCTCGCTGCAGGAAGTGGCACTTCTCAGGCTTAACTTTAAGACCGGTTTCCTTCAACCTCTTAAAGACTATTTCCAATCTCCGCAAGTGCTCTGGAAAAGTGGCAGAGTACACTAGTATATCATCCAAATACACTAGCATGATCTGAAAGATTAAGTCACCCATTGTGGTCTGCATCAGGCGCTGAAACGTTGATGGCCCATTACACACCCCAAAAGGCATACGGGAGTACTCAAAGATCCCAAATGGAGTTGTAAATGCAGTCTTATGCCTGTCACGTTCGTGAACAGCAACCTGATGATATCCACTCGCCAGGTCAATTGAAGAGAAGAATGTTGCTCCTTGAAGCGCGTCAAAACTCTCATCAATCCTAGGTAAAGGGAACGCATCTCGGCGGGTCTTAGCGTTGAGCTGCCTGTAATCAACACACAGCCTGAGGCTGCCATCCGTCTTCCTCACTAACACAATAGGAGAGGCATAAGCACTGGTGCTTTCTTGAATCACTCCCTTCTTGAGAAGCTTACTGATGTGTTCTCTGACTTCTCTGTACTGTGTGGGTGGGATACGCCTATAAGGCTGGGTCACTGGGACATCGTCGGCCACATGGATTTCATGTTTCACCTTATTGGTAAAACCAAGGTCTTCATCCTCGAGCGCGAACACATCAGAATACTGCATTAACAAATCACTCAGCGCTGCCTGCTGCTCAATGGTGCCACCAATATGAAGCTTACTGAGGAACTCTTTCGTGCTGTTCTCCAACACCTGACTGTTTTTGGCATTAACTGTGATCTCCTCCATATCAGCTGAAACACGCTGGAACTTTACCTCGTACATCTCATTTAACTTCATACTCTCAACTTGAGTTAAACTCCCAAGCCTGGTTCGGGCCTGTAACCAGATGTCTTCTGAGGAAAGATTTACCACTTGCACAGGAAACAATGATGTCCCTGATGACACCAGAGAAGGAACAACAATGAGTCCACCCGGTAATGGTGTGTTCATAGGCTCCAACAGGTAATCGGATGAACCATCATGAAGCACATCTTTCGCACCTTTGGCCATCACCGTGGCAACTGAAGAAGCAGGTATATGGACCACTTCTTTTCCAGCTATCCGTACTGCTATTCTCTTCTCTTGGCTATGGGCACTGTGCAACTGTTGAAATGCTTCTCTCCAATTTGATTGCAATTTCCCACCCAGCGTTGTATCAAACTCTGCATGGACCAGTTGCCTGCATCTGCTGATAACGTTCATGCCAATTAGTGCTGGTACTAGAGAGGAGTTCTGTGTGTCTCTGACAACAAGGAAGCCACATTCTGGAAGCACAATACCCATGGTCTTGACTTCCAACTCCAGGTAACCAAGATAAGGTATGTCCAAACCATTAGCTGCGGTCAGCTTCAACCAGCCTGCTGTTGAAAGTATATCTTTATCTTCACCGGATAGGTGTTCCCTGAAGAAACTCTCAGAAATAGTGCTGACTTGGCTTCCTGTATCCAGTAGACAAGCGACACTCACTCCATTGATACTGAGGTTAGCAACAGGACATTTTCCCACAGCACGCTCGAGTAGTCTGTCACGGCTAGTATCCATGTTAGTTGAGCCAATGGACTGCCCCCGAACTGCCTGGCTCACAGCAACCGAGGGTGGGCGTTTCCCGGCGGCACAGAGGCAGTGGCATTCTCTGCGACAGCCTGTCTGTTTTTCCTCACGCACCTCCTAGCGATGTGCCCAACACCATTGCACCGGAAACATACTGGTTGGCCATCTTCTGTAAACCTTGGTTGCACTTTGGGTCTGGTTTGGTTCATAGGTTCTGACTTGCTGCCCTGTGCTGTGAGTTTCTCAACTGCTCTTGTAAGCTCCCCTATAGCCTTTCCTTGTTCTGCTACAATTTTCAAAACGTCTTCCAGATTAACTGATTTCGTTTCAGGTACATTAACAGCAGCACACTGAGCTTCCACAGCCTCAGAAACGACATTTCGACTGCTGACCACTTTTGTGACACGAGACTTAGGATCTTCTAAAGACCACATGAGGGCTTCATCACGCACTTCAATAAGTGTAGACTCTGGCTTGTCTCTAACAAGTTTCCGAAGTTCTCTTCTGAGACTTGTGTCTCTAATGCCCTCAATGAATTGGTCGCGAATGGCCAAACTCACATTTACCATTGCATTTGGTGACTGTTTCAGGATTGAGTTCTGAATCTGTGACAACGCATGCGAGTATGCGCGGATATCCTCACCTTCCATTTGTTTCCGACTATAGAAGGTCTGCAATAGCTGAGATATGCTGCGCTTTTCTCGAAAAGCTGCTCTCAAATACTCAAAAAGGTCACATGTTTGGTTTGACTCATTCCCCATTCTTAATCTGACCTCCTCTAAAGCTGCACCTCTTAGGAGTGACAGGACGAAGTCTAACTGATCCTCTGTGGTCTGATTTCTGACCAGTAGGACCCTCTCTACTTCTTCAATAAACTCATCAACATTCCTCCCATCTTTGTTTAGATCACCACTAAATGGTTGTATCTGACGTTCTCTTGGTACATAAATATAAGACCTGGATGGCTCTCTGCTCAAATTAGCAATTGCTGCTCTAGTCTCTTCATGTTGGCGGCTAAGTTCTCTAATTTGTCCCTGCATGTCATGCATTCTACTTCCTGCACCCTGTGCATCATCATGCTCATGTGAAACTAAAACATCATCATCTGAATGTGACATTTTTTTTTTTTTTTTTAAATTTACCAATTATCTCAGCTCCACACAAAAAACGGTTGACAGAGCAAAATAATCTCTTAAAAAGTCTCTTAATCAGTTCGTCACTATTTTGGAAGCAAAAGGATATGTCTTCAACTCTTTGGATAATACTTCTGTATCTCCTTCAGACAGTCCCTTCATAGGTGTCTCCGCACACAGCACTCTGTGGATTCCGGTGGAAATAAAGCACTCTTCCTCTCCCTTCCCGCAGTATCGTCACCACCAGGTCACCTCCAGCCGACTTCTGTTCCCTGGACTTTTGCCTGGACCCCGGACGATAGCCTCCACTCCGTGTTCCACAGACACCTATCCTCACCTCTACCGTATTTCAAACCGAATAATAAAAAAACCTATAAGCTCCCAACAGCCAGATACCCCACTCCTGGTACCAAATTATGTAACCAGTGGTTGAACGAAACAACACAGGATACAAAAATTACTTTTGGGGCTTTATTCTGGCTGCTGTCTCTATAAAGGACAGCGGTCGAGAGGAGCAAATATTTAGAAACAAAAATAATACAATGAAATAAAGTCTTTCACATTTCTTTGGTGCACTTGTTTGGTATAAAAGATGATTATGACAAACTGAATGAAATCAAATTGAAATGAAAGACATTTGAATAACAAAATAGACTAGTACAAAATACAGTAATGAAATACGGTAGAGGCTAATAGTCAAATGAAAAACAGTACATTAGTCTACCATCAAACTTCACAGTTATCTGCATACAGTTTTAAAGAAAGAGAAATTAGTACACTGTGTTCACACAGCATTCAATACGTTAAGTAGCTCTTAACCATATATTCAATGTTAAAATAACTCACTGTTTTCTAACATGCACATCCAATTTAAACATTCACAAACACTGGGTTTCGAATAAGAGGAACCATTTAATTAACATTTATTACAACACATACCCAGTCTTTGCACGTGTCCCACGCGTGATCAAACCAGATCCAGCTCACACATACACACAGGCGTCCTTAAAAGGCGATCTATAAACATTTCCCAATGAGCACACACATATGTAATACGTAAATATAACATTTAAACATTTTGTTCACGGGAATGAAACTGTATATTTACCTCACAAATCCTTAAATAGGTGTATATGAACAAAACCAGCAGCTCTCACGTGCAATCACTGCTCTCTCTTCGCTGAAAACTAGCGCATGCACACTACACGAGGCAATGCCGTAAAGTGAGCGTCGCAACACAATCTCTTAAAGGAACCACGACCAATTTATGTCTAGTGTCATAATTTGTGATACTCATCCCACTTGGCTACAGTAAAAAAAAAAAAAATCTTTAAAACAAGAAGCATTTACTTGAAAAGTCAGATTGCATAGGGTTAATCAGTTTTTGTTTTTACCCAATTTTTAAAGCAGGAACTTCACTGAGTTTTGTTAGGTTTACCCTTTAAATAATTCAGCAATATATAATTTAATTTTGCTAAAGTATCTTGTTTCAAAGATGTTAAAATATTGCAACCAGAAAACAAACCCTAATCTAATGGCTAAAGTGCTGTTTCTCAGGCTAAAGTGAGCATCTGTTCACCTGTTTGTGAGCAAGGACGTTGATGTGGCAAGTTTTGCACTCCTGACCCATGTCCGCCCATGAGTTCCCACTCATCCACTTTCTGTTGCATTTGGGACACTGGTACTCCCCGAAACACCTCCTCTTACCTTTATACGGCATCTCTCCTTTAGGACGAGCCTGGTAACAAAACAATCTTTAGTTCATCAGTAGACTTACAAACGAGAATCGTGACTCGACTGAAAATGAATCACACACTGAAAATATTTCAGCACCATATACACTATCAAAAGTTCAGGATCAGTGAGAAATTAATACTTTTATTCATTAAGGATGCATTAAACAGATCAAAAGTGACAGTAAAGACATTTATTATGTTACAAACGATTCTATTTCAAATAAATGCTGTTCTTTTGAACTTCCTATTCATCAAGAATCCTGAAAAAATAAAATGTGTCACAATTTCCAGAAAAACGCATTTTCAACATTGATAATAATCATAAATGTTTCTTGAGCATCAAATCATCGAGTGATTTCTGAAGGATCATGTGACACTGAAGACTGGAGTAATGATGCTGAACATTCAGCTTTGATCACAAGAATAAATTACACTTTACTGTATATTCACATAGAAAACAGCTGTTTTAATGTTCTTCATGTAAACGTTACGTTACGCTGTTCAATTTTATGTTACATCACAGTAACATTCTGAATCTGAACTGTGGAATACAATTCAAGATGTGTCATGTTGCAGTTTAAATGTTGCCAGAAGAGGCAAATATCAGTGTGAACTCTCTCCTCTTTCACACACACACATACGCAGGGCTGTTTCAGATTTAAAGGACTGGTTTGTTTGAATTAAGCTTCATAATTGAATCTGCGCACAAGCATCTGTGTTTGACACACTCACATGTCTTTAAAGGTGCCCTAGAATGGTTTTTTATATTATTTTATAATGTTTCCTGGGTTACCCTTATAATGTTAGTATGTTTTTTAGATCAAAAATAGTCATAATTTAGAAATAAAAGGCAATTTTCCTAGCCTGCTTTTAGCCTCTGATTTGAACACTCTGTTTGAAGGGGCGTGTCTCTGTGGGATTCAGTGTAACCGCGGCCACTGCTGTGATTGGCTGACATGCTTGCATATGAAATAGCTACGCATTACATGTGAAACTCTCTCCCGAATACTTTTACTACAGCGATTATACGTTTGTACTATTACAGCTATCGAGATTAACGAATCGTGAGATGTTTTTAAAGTATTTAGATCTATTCCCATCACATAAAGTGTTGCCGTGATGAGCATTGAGCAGATGACTGTGTTGATCGCGAGAATGAAGATCTTATCATTGCAAAGCAGTTTCTGCACTCTCTCTGCTTTCACCAATGCAAACACGATGATGTAAATACAGTAAGAGCTTCGTTGTGCAGTAACGTGCGTCATTGATTTCATAACGAGTTTGGCAAGTGTCCAGATAAACTCGCGCTGTGTGGAAAGATTGTTCTTTGATCGCTTTCTTTATATAATTTATTCACAATTTAAATAAGTTTTTTTTTCATCCTACTAAAAGAAACGATGTGAAGTTGATATTTTAGTCACTGGCTTGACTTACTGATGCATAAACAGTATTGAACGATTTTGAGAGAAAGATTACCTGTCTGAACTTGAACAATTACACATCAGAAAGTGTTGCTTGGTAGCTCGATCCGAGGCCAGCTCTGTATTGGCCCAAGTTGAGGAAACAGTCGTCGGTGAAATTTCCAGAGAAAATAAAATTAACCCATTGTTTCTTCAGAGGCTCGGATGAAGGAAATAAAAAATACTTTTGTGTTCATGTGTACATCCACACTGAGCAACTGCCATGCTTCGGCTGCGCAGTTCCGCCTGGCATTGAACATGGGCTGGCATATGCAAATTCTTGGAATCGTACATATTAATGATCCCGACTATTGCGTCACAGTCGGTGTTATGTGGAGATTCGCCCATTTTTCAGGGGTGTTTTTCAAAAACGAGATTTAAGTAAGAAGGAGAAAACAATGGTGTTTGAGACTCACTGTATGTCATGTCCATGTACTGAACTCTTGTTATTTAACTATGCCAAGATAAATTCAATTTCACATTCTAGGGCACCTTTAATCTCTTTGCTGTGGTTATTAGGAGTGTTTAGTCATGATGAATCTGTCTGAGGTTGGCTCTTTAAACATCTTTCTGAAATCATTCAAGCTGCATTTCTAATAATTCCAGAGCCAGTGTTGTATTTGAGGACTTGTGTTGGATGTGAGCTGTGTGTGGCTGATATGTGATTTAATCAGATGCTCTTACGTCACTGCAGCACCAGCTCCATATAAACCACCTGCTGCTCAATAGGGAAGTTTATGGAGAACTTTATTATAGTTGTTTTTAATGAGTGCAAAGGTTTTTGAGTCAGATGTAAAGCAACAGAGAAAAGCCTCTTGAATTCACAGGACAGTTTCTGACTAATGTAGCAAATGAATAAGTAGCATATAGCCTACTTAATGGAATAGAAATAGTATCTAAAAAATAAGTACTAGTAGCATGAAAATAGAGACTAGTGGGTTTTAAGGATTAATGTTAACACGGCTTGCCATATGTGGTGAATTCAAGCGCTTTTCTCAGCGCTGTAATAACAGTGTCACGTGATTGAGATCGGCCCCCGAGTGAAGCTGTTCTGAGATCAGACGAATAGCGCTGTTTCGTTTCACATTCGTTTCGTTTGGGTGTAGCAGAAGTTGCAGCTCTTATCAATTGCACAACGTGAGGGTCACACAGTCTTGTCGCCCATTTCTGGATCCACTTGCATAAAGTGTGGCTCTTGTCCAGGTCCTTTCCCCTTCAACTTCATAGAAACAAAAGTTACGTATAGATTTTAATGCCGATGGTGCCGGTGTGTGAAGTGTTGAGTCCCAGAGAAGTGATGAGTCCCAGCTGAGGAGGACCCCAGTGCCTGATCTAAAGCTGTTCTCGCGATTCTTATTGTAATCAATCAAACTTTAATTCCAATATTAACTACTAGGTGTCACGATGCGCTCCACGACGCCTCCTCCTGGCCTCACCAGATCACTCTCTCCTGAGTTCTAGGACTTCACTTCCCATCACTCCCTTCACTAATCACCTCCTTCCATCCCGGTCTCATCTCCATCATCTCAGCCACCTGTTCCCACTCAGCTCCCCTTTATCTGGACCTTGCTCCCCTTTGTTCTCTGTGAGGTCTTGTTACTGCCACGGCGTGCAACTCTGAGCAATCTCCTATATTTCTACGTATTCCTGGTTCCTTGATTCTCGCCTGTTTTCCCCATTACTCTGTGAACGTTTGCCGCCTGCCTTCGACCCTTGCCTGGTAACCACTCTGAGTTTGGACTGCCCCAGTATATATTCTACCCTGTGCTTTCTCTGTTTTCTGCCTGTTTGTGTTCATCATTAAAGTTATTGCACATGGATTCGGACGCCTCTGACTCTTCATCACACTAGGCCCTAGGCCTATATTTTTAAATATTACTGGTATGTATTCATTAGATGCTAATACTTATTGTAATTGCTTTTCATTCGACACCTATTTAATAGATAGGCTACTAGTAGTTTTTCGTTAGGTATGCTACTACTTATTTATTAAACACTAGTCTAGTATCTTTTTTAAGTATACATTTCTTATCTTACTTGTCACAACTGTTTTTATTACTCGTCTTATATTATGACTAGTCAGAATGGCCACTGTAGGGTTCAATTAAAAATCTTACTAGTAAAATAAAAATCTTAGTAACATTTGGAATAAATACTAGTATCTAATAAATAGGTACTAGTATCTATTGAATAAGTAGGCCTATCTATCTAATAAATAAGTACTAGTATCTATTTTATAGGTACTAGTATAATGATCAAGTACCTATTGAATAAGTACTATCTTAATAGGAACTATCTAAAAAATATACTAGTACCTAATGAATAACTACTAGTATCTAATAAATACATACTCACAATACATAACTAAGTCCACTGAAGACGAGGTTGCAGAACCCAAGTGCAGTTTAATAGTGGACAAAACAAGATCAAATATAAAACAAAAGCATGGCGTGGCATGAAACTCAAGACTTCAACGTGAATATAAACATGGACATAAACTTCCCAACATAATTACAGGCAACACTCGACAAACATGTTGTAACAAGACTAATGACTAGACAAGGGACATCTGTGAACAATCAAGACAATAAACCAGGATTACATTACTAACAGAGGATCACATGACAGAAATGAAACTAGAGCATGAAACGAAACCGAAACAAGATGTGACAACAAGTCAAGAACGGAATAGTTGATATCATGACAGATCCCCATAGAAGTCAATGGCAAACAAATTAAATGTGTTACTAGTATAACAAAAGAATAGTTTCCACTCACTATCAAAATAAGTACTAGTAATGAATAGTATCTATTTAATAGGTAGGCTAGTCTAGTATATAATAATAAGTACTAATAACTAATAAATAAGAACCAGTTTAATAGGCACTAGAATCTAAATAATAATTACTAGTGTCGATTTAATAGGTACTAGTATGTATAGCAGTATCTAAAAAATAAGAACTAGCATCTAATGAATAACTACTAGTATCTTTTAAAAAGGTACTAGTATCTAAAGAATATGCACTAGTAGCATGAAAATAGATACTAGTAGGTTTTTTAAGGATTAAATGTTAAAACGGCGTGCCATAATAACAAAGCAGACGTGCCAAACACTCGATAGGCTACATTGTTTTAACGTAGAAAACGATTGTAAAGGCAAAACTTACTTGGATATGTGATGTGATGTGATGATGTGATGTGAGGAATGGACCTCGAGAGTTTGTTCTGAATGAAGAACGGAGGCGTCAGTCTGTATTTATACGCTCTTCTATCCAAGAGGCGTGTGCCTTGAATAATGATGTTGTTTGAGTTTTTAGGACGTTGCTATAAATATTTAAAATGCATTTTTGTTTTGTTTTATATAGTTTACTATTTTACTATGCCTATTTGTTTTTAGTTTATATTTTTTTATATATATATGCATAGGCTACATATAATTAGGTGTGTGTACACCCACACACACACACACACATATATAGCCTACTGTATACATGTATGCATCCATTACACATGTATTATGATTTTACAGTAGTAGGCCATCTATGGTATTTTGCTGG